AGTTTCACAATTTGAGTTGAATTACTGAAATAAATGAACTTTTCCACAACATTCTAATTCATTGAGATGCATAAATATATCTATAGAAAGCTTTAAATTACTACTTTAAAACTAAATAATTTGAATCAAAAACAAAAACTCTTTTTACGGATTTTATACAATCCGTAAAGATGCATTTCTCAGGATCAGGATCGTCGTCTTCATCTTTGCGACACGGACTCAGAAAACCCTAATTTATTAATAAATAATTCAAATATCTCATTATTTCCCCCCGCCACATTCAAGGTAATTACTTTTGCTGGGGCTTTGCGGCACGCTTTAGCCGATTACGTGCGTTTTTTGCTGTCATGTGCAAGGATATGTTTGCAGATTCTGTACTGCACATGACCAATTGACTCACTGTCTGCCGTGGTAATCAAATCAAGACTCTTCCAAAATACAACTTTTCCGAAGCATTGGGAACTTTTAGCAACTCCCCACGCTCCAACTTCTCCCTGTTGCTGTGCATGGTCAACTGTCACCTAGGCTGCGTTTACACTGGCACAAAAAATCCGATCTTTCGCTCACATCTGACACAGATCGGAGTTTGTTGCACACGTGTAAACACAAAAACCCGCACGAGATCGACTGCTAATTTTTTCAACACTTAAAAAAAAAAAGATGACTGAAAAGAGGAAAAACCAAAGTGAAGTATGTTCTTACTTCACTCAGTCATTTATTTACTTTATAACAGTAAATAAATATCGGTTCTGCATATCGGTTATCGGGCACATAAAAAATTTAAATAATTGGTATCGGTAATAAAATATAAATATTGGTCGATCACTAGTTGTTTCCAAGCAAATTAAATCAGTATCAACAAAATTGATCTTTGCAATGCAGAGGAAACACAGAAGCTGCATTAGAAGTGTCATTTAGATGTATTTACACACTGTTTAATGCAGCTCAGAGGGACATTAAATACTTTAACCTGCAATTACAAGTGCATAAATAATGTTTTGATATTTTAAACATAAAACATTGAAAACTGATGTTTGAAATTATTTAAAAAAATTAAAAGGTACCTTAAATGTGAAATTAAAACCGCCAGCAGGTGGCAGCAAGTCACTGTTAATAAGTGAGTCATTGCGATTGAACCGAATCATTTAAACGGTTGATTAATTCAGGAACGAAACAGCGTCATGTTGCTCAGAGACGCAAAACAGCCGTGTTTGCAGGGTAAAAACATTGGTCTGTTTTCGCATTGGTCTGAACTCGGAACCAAACAACAGTTTTATTGAAAATGCTCATTCATTCTGAAAGTAGGTGGAGCGTTTGGTAGAAATATAACTGTTTCCCCGGTAACTGCTGTACACAAAGCAGCGCAGCTCCGGACTTTGAACCTGCAGCGCTTGTGTTTATTCAATGAAATCATAACGATAGCCTGTTGAAGTTTAATCGTCACATTTAGCCATATCGCAATTCTGGTCTTTCCGTCCCCAAATTTAAGACCTCTTGAAATCATAATTAAGACTTTTTAAGGCCTTAAATTTGATACAACTAACTTTAAGACTTTTTAAGACCCCGCGGAAACCCTGCAAATGTGTCTAAAATTTACTCTGTAAATTAATTAAAATGTAATTTAATATGTTTTCACTTTAGATGACCCGCTTCTTCATTTCTTCATTAATTGTACTTTAGGAAATTATATGAATGGACACATAAATAAAACCTGAAGTATCAATGTAACGGCTTAAGAAAAAGAAATGTGATGTATCCCTTTATAATTTTATCAACAAAGTTCTCCATATTGAACATTATGAATTAACAGACTGCAAATGCAAAAGTGTAAATTAGACTGGTGTGGAAAGGGTCTGATGTGTCAGTGGCCCACCTGTATACTAGCACTGTGATTGGGCATCCCAGAGGACAGCGAGATCAACACTGAGGTGAAACAGGAGAGAGAACAGACATTAATAGCGATGTGTGTGCTCTAGTACAACACCGGGTCACGGCACCAAATAAGACTCACCTGCTATGACCGTGTTGACACACTCATAGAGAAGTGACATGGCCGAGGTACTGAGGGAGACAATAAGAGGAAGGGCAAGAAAAAAAAAATCATATTTAACCCTAATATTTTTGGCCAACTTGAGTGCTTTGGAGTGTTTTAGTATCACTGTTATAGACTTGTGCCGGTATTCGGTAATGCGATATATCACGGTAATGAATATGCATGATATTGTTATCGTGGGCACTTCTAAATACCGTGAATAATTATATATTACAAATTATTCCGAATCTTTATTGCATTTAAATGTTCAGTTATTTTTGTTATAAGAAAAATTTTATTAAACCTGTTATGACAGCACTTTTTAAAACTAAATTTCAATATCGTGATAATACCGAATACCGTGATAAAAGCATTAGCAATTAATCGCAACATGAAAATTTGATACCGGCATATCCCTACACTGTTACCTGTGGATGAGGTTTGTTAGAGGCTCAATCAGCTTCTTTCCCAAACGAGGCTCCAAAGGAGTGAGAGCACCGAACTGAAACATGAAAACCTCATTAAAGAAATGGACAAAAGTGGAGAATCGGTTCCTTTTCCAACCCAACACATTTAGGTGTCATCTCACCAGCTTAATGATCTTGATGAGAACCCAGTTGTTGGTGGAGGAGGTCATGAGTTTGAAGAACAGGGGTGCCAGGGAAAGGTAGTTCTTGGGATTTCTTCTGGCCAGTTCACAGATGACATTCACAGCTGCTGACTGGACACCTGGGAAATACACAATTTAAACACTGGGTTCAAGCGGAAGCCTGACATATTAGCATTTAGCGAGATGAAATTCGGCATCCGTACCGGGATCTGGGTCCTCCAGCTTCTCTTTGAGGCGTGGGAATGCAGGTCGCAGGGACTCGGGATACTTCAGGAACACTTTGTACATGATCAGCACTGCCTTCTTGCGAATGTACGGCTTAGTGTGGGACATCTGAGACGGATGAAGGGTGAGACTGAAGGAATGTGTGCTCAACGTCAATATTTGCTTTTAGTAAACACTGTGAATGGATTTACCAAAGTCATGATGTCATTGGCCAGGTCACGAGCAAGGTCAGGGGTCACGAAGCAGGAAAGGCCAGTCAGGGCCACGCCGGTGTCATACTGGTGAGGACTACTGAGATCCTGGTGAGAGATGATAAAGCGTCCCATAGCAATCAGCAGGGTTATTATAGTTACTACAACTAAAACTGAAAATAAAAATAAAACCATAAAAAAAAAAAAAACATTTTCTTTACTTGAAACAAATGTTAATGGAAATAAAATATAAAATACTTTATTTCAGCGAGTTGCCAAGGCAACATTTCTCATTTTAATTAAATTTAGTTTAAATTTATGTAATAAATTAAATAAAACTTAAATTAAAATTAATAAATACTAATATAATATAGAAGTATCTCAATGATACTAAAATGACTGGCAATCAGCGTAATCAAAACAAATACAGGTGAAAGGGAAGTTCAAAGTGCACCTTGCGGATCTGATTGGTCGTCAGCATGATGACATCAGTGCCCTCATGAAAGCACTGTGATGCTGCAAGGTAGCCAATTCGCTGAAAACAAGAGTAGAAAGAGTCATTTATGAACCAGTGTTGCTGAATAAAAACAAAAACTAGGGATGCACGATATTATTGGAACAATATCAGAATCGGACGATAAAGGCTTAAAATATAAAAATCAGCATCGGCCCGATATGAAAAATTATGCCGACATGTCTTGCTGATAAGACGAATAGCACACACGTGCTCAGGGTGTGCTAGCACTAAGATCACGTCAGTAGTGTGGTCATTCTTGAAGTGAACTTTTGCCTGAATGATGATTAGATTCACTGTTTTGGATCACAGCATTTAATCTGAGAATGTACATACAGAATGAGGCGCCTGGTGTGCGATAGAGTCAAAAGTTACAAGCGCTTTCAGCAGCAGCAGCAGCAACACCCTCCTCTTTATTTGCTTTTTATTTATTTAGGGGGCATTGTAGGCCAACTTGTAATAAAATGAAAGTAAAATACACAAATAACATTAAAGGGATAGTTCACCCCAAAATGAAAACTCAAATGAAAATTTACTCACCCTCAAACCATCCTAGGTGTATATGACTTTCTTTCTTTCAGAGGAATACAATCAGAGTTATATAAAAAAATGTCTTGGCTCTTCCAAGCTTTATAATGTCAGTAAATAAACTGCGCCAATCCATCATAAAAAAGTGCTGCTACACCTACGTCTTACATCATCCACTGGAACGCCACTCTCTCGAACCGTTAGCAGAAGCTAGAGATTACAGTTTAGAAAGTTTTAAAATATGGATATTTTTCTAAAAAAAAAAAAAAAAAAAAAAACTTACTGATTCGCTTCAGAAATCCTTTATTAACCCCCCGGAGCCGTGTGGTGCACTTTTTATGATGGATGGATGCACTTTATTGGACTTCTATTGGAATACTGAATATTAACCCCCATTCACTGCCATTATTAAAGCTTGGAAGAGCCAGGACATTTTTTAATATAACTCCAATTCATCTGAAAGAAGAAAGTCATATACACCTTTGAGGGTTTGAGGATGAATAAATCATGGGGTAATTTTTATTTTTGGGTGAACTATCCCTTTAACTAAGATTAATAAATGCTTGAGTATTTTTTATTGTTAGTTCATGTCAATTAATGTTAACAAAAGGAACCTTATTGTAAAGTCTTACCAAAAAAAAAATAATAAATAAAAATGACAAAAGCACAATCACTATAACTTAATTAAAATGAAAACTGAAAAAAAGAAAATAAAAGCTAAATCAAATGTATATTAATTTATTTATATTAACAAATACTTTAATAGTATAGAAATAATGCTGCATTGTAGCTGATTCATTGAAAACAGGAGTGCGAACCAGTGTTGCAATCTAAAACCACAATTAAAAGTAAAAAATCTATTAAACTATTAAAAAATGTTTTCGGTCAGTGAAATAATGGTAGTAAAATTAACTATTAATATTACAGACTTAAATCTTTGCTATACGGCCCTAAATAACACTAAAATAGTGTATAAACTCTAAATACCAAAATGTTGAGAACCTCTGGATCTGGTCTGCCTGTGTGCTTATATTATTTTCGACATCGCCTCTCACCTTGTACGTGAATTTGGAGGAGCTCATCACCTCCACGATGTTGAACGCAGCCCAACTGACATCATAGCCAAGCATCTGCAACTGTTAGGAGGAGAAAGCAAAAGAATAAGTGACGGCTTGAGCTCAAAGAATTATGAAGCAGATCAGAGAGGATATAAATGTTGGATGGTCTTACGTAGGTGAGCTTGCAGACTGCATTGGCTTTAACAGCGATGTTGTCCTGTTTGAGTTCTTGTTTGATCTCATCGATGCATGTAGAGATGTATTTGGCCTGTAGAAAGAACAGGAAGCAATGTGAGACAAAAATAAAAAGGCAATGCTCTCCATGACAGCCCAAGGCATCGTTAAGATTCCTGCTATCCGCAGCATCTATCAAATCACTGCCTGAACTTAACCGCATTATAGGGATGTAACGGTATGAAAATTTCATATCACGATTATAGTGACCAACGTTATCACGGTTATCAATATTATCACGGTTTTGTTAAAATTAGATGAAAACATTCGAAAAGAACTGATACACACACTGAAAACATTTCAATAAGTTTTATATTTGAAAATCAACAAACAACAAACACAATTAGCAGCTATATGCACTTTTTTTTAGCATAAACATTAAATTAACATTAACGTGAAACCCTAATAATAATAATAATAATAATAATAATAAATCACTATATAATATACACAATGTGATTTCCGTTTGTGATCATGTGATCTTCGGTTAGGAGATCTTGTGATGCTTTTTAAAGCAAAGTTGGGGTTGATTTCGAGTTCACATACAAACATAAATAGAATAGGCTAATTAAATTTGTCTATTTTAATGTAAGACAACATTTTTCGTCAGTGATAGAAATATGATTTAAGACGGTAGTGTAAGCAAGTTTAGTTTGAAAACGTTTAATAGTAAATAAGACACAATTAGACAATATTTGAATAAAATAATAATAAATATTTATTTGCAACAACTGATGGAGTACTGAATGCTGCACGCACGCGCAGCGTTGTCAAGGTAACATTTGGTCAGTCATTCCCTTAGCCAAGGGAGTTCCAAACGCTTATACGAGACAGTAATGCCCTGCACCCTTCAAAGAACACACCTCAAGGGCTCTGCCTTCGAAGGGAGTAGGGCATAGGGATGCTCACTTCTGTTTGGAATTCGCCCCATGTCTCTTGTATCACCGCAGAGGCGCGGACGCGCTTTCTCGTTTCATTCAAATGCAGCTTGCGTCTCAGTTTTTGATTGTATTGAAAAAGAAATCAGAGGAATTTAGTATTAATACTACTATAATTTTGCTGTAGTGATCATATTGTCCTGACGATTAACAACCACATTGCATGCTGCTTCTGCGTCAGACTGATGCTGGCTGGACAGGATTTACCGCGAGTTTTCAAAAGCGCGATAATCAAACACGGTTTTGATGATAATTAAATTTTAAACGGTAATACTAACCGTCAGGGCATTTTATCGTGGTTTATCGTGAAACCGGTAATCGTTCCATCCCTAAACCGCAATAAAAAAGCTTTAATTGAGTGTGATTTGCCATATTTCTATCTGAAAGCATTTCTAGATTATCATTTACCAAAACGATTTACAGGTGATGATAGTTAATCATCACGTTGTTACAAACTCTCCCATTAAAAGCAAAGACATATTTAGCACCATGTCTAAGCTGCTCTTTTCCAAATAATGAAAGTGAATGGAGACCAGCAGCACAAAGGACAGGGTTGTTGTAGTAAACTAAAACCATAAAAAAAACTGAGGGGAAAAAAAACGTTGACCACAATAAAATAAATTAAACAAAACAAAACTTATTTGTAGTTGCCAAAACAAAATGTATCATTTTCATTTATAATAAAAACTATACAGACTAGGGTTTTCAAAAGTACAGACTTCAGTACCAGTCAGTACTTACATTTCATCTTGACCAAGCGGCAACCTTCCGGTCTCTCTTGTGAAACACAGAAGTGACTAAAACTGTAATTCGTCAACTGGCCGCTAGAGGCTGGCTCCAAAAGGGAGTCAATCCCATAGACCCCCGATGTTAAAATACCCAACTTTACAGAAGAAAAAAAATGTGTTTATAGCCTGGTACAAAAAGTGGTTTTGGTCTATATAGCTAATTTTGCCCTTCATGACAACTGTAAGGGGGGTGAATTTTTTTATAACTCATCCGTTTAAATTATATTAAGCCTTAAAGTTCTGCATAATTAAGGGCGTGGCCACTTGAGTGACAGGTGGATTGCCGCTGCTGTCACCACCGTCTAGCTAGGTGGGCGTGGTTTCAGCAACTAGCTCCACCCACATCCCGCCTCTTTGCCCATTTTCGATTATCCGAGTGATGCGTGGTGACTCGCTGCCAAGATGGCGATGGCCTGCTCCGCCCAATTTAGGCTTCAAAAATGCTCTTCAGAAACCTACGGGTGACGCCACAGACTCTACGTCCATGTTTTTTGCAGTCTATGTTTTTGACCGAGCGTTTACACACAGGAGCGTTTGAAAGCAGGATATGTCTATGATCAGATATGTGTGTATCTGTGTGAGCGCTCGGTGAAGAGCGTGAAGCGATGATCTTTGTAGCCAATCACAGACATATCTGTTGAGCTCGTGAACACAATGACCAATCAGAGCGGTTTAAGAATCCGCTCAACAGCGCTCAAAATGCTAATTTCAGTACTGACTGGTACCAAAGTCAGTACTTTTGTTCAAAACAGTAACACTATAATAGTATCTCAATGATGCTAAAATAAAACTGGGTTGGACCATTATGCCAAAGAATTATTTTGTGTTTTACAGCGAGAATAAATGGGTTTGAAGCAAAATGAGGGCTATTAAATTACAATTGACATTTTTAGATAAACTATTCCTTCAAATGATCAGTTTGACCTTTTTCACCACAGTCAAAACTATTATTCATTTTGTCTGTTGTACAAAGATTTTTACATGCCTGCGTCCCCCTGCTCTGCATCTCTCTCTCTCCCTCTCATTGAGCTCAGCTCCAGCAATGAACTGTTACAATTATACACTTATTTTCACATAGCTATGAGAAGCGTTAAACATGGACCCGCATGCAGTTGCGTACTGTATTAAATAAAAAAAAATAAAAAAAGAGATAGAGAGAGAAGAACCTTGGACACACAGCACACATACTCTCTGCATCTCAGGGACACACAGAGTGCTGTTGTATAGGCGAGTGTGCTGGTCATGTGTCTTTAGTCATGAGACAGCCAGAGCAGCGACAGGAGGGAAACAACTGAAGGGATCAGAGAACCGGTACATGGGCACAGCCCCACATTTAGTACAAGACGTCTTCAGTGGGGTAAAAAGTATAAATATGCTGTAAATTAAGGTTCTCCAGAAGATTTTCCAGTCACATCTTTGCAAAACCCTTGTGAATGATGCATTATGGGTAATTTAAGCCCAGAGAGACTGAAAATTTGGGGTAAAAGAAAGTTCTAGAGAAGGTCTGTCACATCTTTACAAAATTCTTGTAAATGGTGCATTATGGGTGATTTCCACCAAGTAAAATTATATATATATATATATATATATATATATGAGGTAAATGAAGGTTCTACACATGATTTTCCAATCACATCTTTACAAGTCCTTGTGAATGATGCATTATGGGTCATTTGAGCCCGGAGACTGAAATGCAAGGTAAACAAAAGTTTCCAGAATGTTCTTGTCACGTCTTTACGTAAAATTCTTGTAAATGGTGCATTATGGGTAACTTCTACCCAGCAAGATTGAAAATATGGGATAGAGATTCTCCAGAAGGTTTTCAGTCACATCTAGAAATTTTTGTGAATGGTGCATTGTGGGATTTTCAGCTTAAGGTTCTCTTATCAAATCTTCACACAGCTATAATGAATAATGCATTATGGGCAACTTACACCCATTGAGGCTGAAAATATGTGGTAAAAGAAGGTTCTCTAGAAGAGTTTCCAGACACATCTTTACTAAACCCTTGTGAATGATGAACTATGGGTAATCTAAGCCTAGAGAAACTGAAAATACAAGGTAAAAAAAATTATGGGTGAAATCACACATTACGGGTGATTTTCACTTAGCAAAATAAAAATACGATGCAAAAGAAGGTTTTCCTGTTATATGTTCATGCAGTTCTTATGAATAGGGCTGGGTATCGAGTTCGATACTTTTTAGGCACCGACCGAATTGCCTCGATACCATCGAGTATCGAAACGGTATCGATATCGAACATTTTTGAACGATACCCAGCCCTACTTATGAATGATGCATTATGGGTAATTCCCACCCAGTGAGACTGGATTTAAAGAAGGTTCTTTGGGCTTGTGTCAAATGTTCATGTTGTTCTTATGAATGATGCATTAAGGTTCATTTCGACCCAGTAAAAATGAAACTCTAGAGGTAAAACAGTTGTCTGGAAGGTTTTCCTGTCAAATCGTCATGAATGATGCATTATGGGTAATTTCATCCCTGAGATAACAAAACATGCGGCAATAGAATGTTCTCCAAAAGATGTTCTAGTCCAATCCTCATTCAGCTCCAATGAATCATGTATTATGAGTCATTTCAGCCCATTGCCATGACTGAAATATTTGTTAGTTAGCCAAGAGTTGGATTCAACCAGCTCTGCAAACCGTCACTGAAGTATGAAGATGAACTCAATGTCCTTCCCAAGCAAACAAGAGAGCACAGCCTGGAGAAAAACCTTCCTTCATTCCTTCTTTTCAAACACTAACCAGCAAACAAGTGACAATTTCATGCAATTTACAAGCTACTGTAAAATTAGACTATTCAAACACACCTATGATCACCAAAATGATTCAACTCCAAAATAATTTGTTTCAAATGCAACTATGCTGTCCAAAAATACAGTTTAGGTAGGCAGCTCACTAGTTTTGAGCCACAGCCAGTGCTTTGGATAAGTACACCCACCTCTTGTGGAAAACAAATATAGAGGTCTTACATGAAACCACCGGCAGAGAGCAAACAGAGCAGCGAACGCACACACGCACAGACTGACAGTTCATTCAGGAGCCTATGAATATTTCACAGCACTGTCCGCTGTTGGCCAGGTAACAGACACGATATCTAGGTACACCAGTACAGGTTACATTGACCAAGCCTTGCTGATACCTGACTCCAGATGTTTGCAGATTAAACAGGGCCAGGACACCAGAACTGGAACGTTAAAGCAGAGAATAAAGCACATTTTAAAGATGTTTGATTTTGAATGGACAAAAGGTGGGATTTAACCCCGGTTAGATGTTGAACTATAATGAAAGTAGGTGGCTGAACGGAGCAAAACCAGTCAGGCCTGAATCAAGATTGTAGTATGAAATCACTGTTATGAGAAGTCAACTATTTATGCAAAATTAAACAACTGGATTAAACTTTGATCAGCTTTTTGAGCGTTTACCAAGTAGAGCTGCAACTAGTACTCGATAAAAATGACTAATTTATTATTAAAGTACAGAAAATGTTTTTATTGATAAGTACATTTTATTATTATTTATATATTATTTTAGTTTTATATTTAGATTTTTTTTTTTAGATTTTTAGTTTTTATTTTAGCTTTTGTAATTATATTTGAAAATATTTTTCATTTATTTTTATTTCAGTTCTAGTTTTCAGTAATTTTAGTACTTCATCTTACAGCTTACACTAGCTGCAAAGACAACATTTCTATTTTTTTCCAACTAATATTTATATTTTAATTCAGCTTGATTGGAATTAACACAAATGTTTTAATAATTCATATTTTAGTTAACAATGACAAAACTGGCACAGATATTAACATTCTGGCCAACACCGATAAACTGAATTATTTTAATGTTACGGCTGACAATGGAGAATAGGGCTGTCAAAATGTCTGAAAAACTAAATTCAAATTTTTTTACTTAAATATTATCAATATTCGAATTATATTCTAATTTAAAAGGCATCATTTCAGTTAGGGGGAAAAAAAAGCTTTTGGCTTCTCTCCTGAGGCCACAAGAGGGTGCATCGAGCAAAATATTATGCACGTTTCTTCAAAGCATAATAAAATAACACGACTATCTTTGAAAAAAGTGCATAATGTTTAAAATAATGTTTATAAACCATATATAATTAATAAAGTTGCTTAAACAATTAGAAACAAAACAGCATCATGCATGTATAGTTTAATACAAAGGACCGAAAACCAATCACAAAGAGTACTTTCTGCATTTTAAAACTTGATGCAGTAGGATGGGGAAAAACCGCCATAAAGTCTTGAGACATGTTTTTTAAAAGTTGAGCTTGCATTAATTTTACATGGCTTTCTAAACATGTGGCTCTCTTGTGCGAGACGCGAGTGCAACGGTGATAGATGTCCCTCTAGAAAATGCAATAAATATGCGTTCTGTGTGAACGGCTTGGTTTCAGTTTTGACGTAAACAACATCTTCCCCGCATTGATTGTTCTCTTTTAACGTAGCAGCGTCGCATCTAGTGGGTTCAACTGGATAGGGTAACAAAAGCATTAAAATGCAATGACACTTACATCGTCATCGCATTTCGTGCGCCACTGATAAGGCTGCCTGACGCACACCTAAAATTTAATGTGGATTTTTATTTTAAATTCGACGAATATTCAAAATTAAAAAACTTTTTGACAGCCCTAATGGATAAATGGCAGATAATAAAATTCTATACGAATTCATACAAAATAAAAATAAAAATAAATTCAATAGAATAAATTAAAATAAATAGAAATAAAACACTAACAACAAAAAACAATTAGGCCTAGATTATAAATGTTCCAAGTGAATTTGCCCATAATGTTGTTCAATTAGCATATTTTTGTGTTTTGCTTTGGTACCGAAATTGGTACCGAGAACCGTGGATTTTCACTGGTATTGGTACCGAATACTGAAATTTTGGTACCGTGACAACACTAGTACAGTATGAATAAATTATTAGTATTTTTAAAGATTAACTTCAGGTAACCTAAAAGTAAACACAGGAAATAAGCATGAATAATTAAATATCCAATATAAAGAGAGTGTTTTTTTTATAGACGCAATGCTATCACAATGCTGTTTTTTTGCCACAGACTCAAGGCCACTTCGGACAGCGCAGGTCATCCAGGTAGGTCCACCCTGCGTCAAACTGACACGTTCACTGGTTATGGCACATCAGAAACACTTGATATCAGTCTTCAGTGTTCACTAGGTTTATTGCATTTCATAACACGTAAATCACTGACCTGCTGTCTGCTGGAAGGGCAAACAGGTGATTCAAAATAAAAAAATCAATATGAATCTTCTAAAAAGGGAACAGAATTCTAATGCCATAAAAGCGGGGAAACCCTGTTGTGATTATAAACGCTCACTGTCACAACAGCATCTTGTTCCCTTTTTCAAAGGGAGGGGCGAGGATGGAGCATACTGGAAGAGAAAATTTAGCCTTGTCATTATAGGTAACCAGGCAGCCTGAGGCCTACACACACTTTCACATCTGATTCATCATTTCACTTTCATTTCAACCACTCATCATCACAAGAAACCAGCGATTCTCATCCCTGATGCTGTGGTCAAACTGATTTCACAGCCAAGACGACGGCTGTGTCTTAATAACTAGTTAGTTGCCTACAGAGACAACATTTCTGGGTGTCACAGAGGTGTTTGAATCCAGCGTTATAAGCCCGTTCGAACATCTGAATCAAACGTTTTTGGGCATCATAAGCACATCAAAACATTCAACTCTACCACATATGCAAGTCCAAACATTTGACCAGAACATTTTGTGCATCGTAGGTGCATTTGAACGTTTGAATCGAACACTTATAAGCATCACGGACATGTTTGAACAGCCAAATCTGTCGGCATCCTGAGTGCATTCGAGCTGAGCATTTTTGAGAATTCTGAATGCTTTTGGGGCTTTATATAAATGTTCGAACATTATCATAGATGCATCTAAACATTCAAACATGTTTGAAGACCCGAACTGAGCATAAGCACATCAGAACGTTCAAAACGAACGCATCATACAAAAAGTTTAAATGTTTTGTGTATATTATTAATGTTCTACCATTTTAACCCAAGATTTTGGCCATCTTAGGTGCACTGGAACGTTTGAACTAGAAATTTATCTGCATTACGGGTGAGTTCAAACAATCGAATCGAACATCTGTCAACGTCATAACAGTATTCGAACATTCCAATCGAACATTTTTGAGCATCGCAGGCATCATCATGCGCGTTCGAATCTTCCAGTTGAACATCACAGAACATTTGAACGTTGTCAGAAGGCACCTATGATGCCCAGGAAATTATGTCTAGATAGGCAGCTCACTAGGCGTTAAAGGGTTAGTTCGGCCAAAAATGAAAATTCTGTCATTAATTACTCCCCCTCATGTCGTTTCAAACCCGTAAGACCTTCGTTCATCTTCGGAACACAAATTAAGATATTTTTGATGGAATCTGAGAGCTGTCTGACCCTGCATAGACAGCAATGCAACTGAAATGTTCCCAAGTCCAGAAACGTAGCAAGGAGATCGGTAAAATAATCCATGTGACATCAGGGGTTCAACCGTAATTTTACGAAGCTACGAGAATAAATTTTGTGCGCAAAAGAAAAACAAATAACGACTTTATTCAACAATTCGTCTCCTCCGCATCACCCTGTAGCACCATTTTGGAGAATATCCGCTGGACGTAAACAGCGTATGCTGTTCTGTGTCTGCTGCATCACGCGGAGGAGACTAATTGTTAAATAAAGTCTTTTTTTTTTTCTTTTGCGCACAAAAAGTATTTTAGTAGCTTCGTAAAATTACGGTTGAACCCCTGATGTCACATGGATTATTTTACAGATCTCCTTGCTACGTCTCTGGACTTGGGAACATTTCAGTTGCGTTGCTGTCTATGCAGGGTCAGACAGCTATCAGATTCCATCAAAAATATCTTGTGTTCCGAAGATGAACGAAGGTCTTACGGGTTTGAAACGACATGAGGGTGAGTAATTAATGACAGAATTTTCATTTTTGGGTGAACTATCCCTTTAAGACACGGCCAATCTCATGACACACATAAGTGAGGCGAGCTATTTTGAATGAACTTCTGTTCTTTAACGCACCCAGTCTGTTTATTACATTTATAATCACGCGGTTCGTGTCAAAAACAGGATGGAATCAAATTTGTATTCACTTTGCAGAATGTATTTTTATAAGTGTCTTAACCGTTAGCATTGCTAACTGGCCTCATCCATGATAAACAAAACGATGACAGAGTGTTCTAACAACTCTAACAGCTGTCACCTGCCACACAAGCGATATAAAATAATTGAAATAACAATGTAATGTGTTAAAAGAACAGTCGTTTGTTATTGAGGCACATTTGTCAGGTTACAGCCGGTTAGCTCACCTGAAATCACCGATACGAGATCAGCTTGATATCAGCTGGGTTTTATGCAAATTTACAAAAACATCCAATTCTGATTTGAGGCACATAAAAGGAAATAAATGGATAAGCGTGTCTCACCTCATCTTCCTTATGGTTCCTAATGCCACGTACTAAATCCTGCAGGTTTTTATCGAACATCCGATCGATGCTTCCCTTCACAATTTTCAGAGCCATGATGATTTCCCACTTGTCCTACCGGACCGAACCGCGAACACGGGCTTTATGTGAGTACTGACCGGCCCGCTGGAGCGCTAGTCACTCATTCAGTCCCGAACAGCGGCCTGTGCAGGAAGGGTTTCGCTCTTTCTGTAAGTGCTGATCTGCAGCGGACCAGGGTAGGAAATGGCTGACAAAATGGCGGATTGATCACCTGATTACTGGCAAACGCGCATCGCCACGCGACGCACTGGACGCTTCTCGGAGTTTAGGATTTGATATTTACGTCTTTAACATTTCCCTTTTTGATGTTGTGGAGAACGTGCTTATTGGTTTCACAGATTACAGTTTCATATTGCATAAATAATTCTAAACCGTACTTTCTGGAGATATTATGTTGAATCAGGCAGTGTTTTAACAATAGATGTCTGAATAAGAAAAAAAAAGCAAATAACTCAGTACTTGCTCAACAAAGAACTTATGAGATGTATTTATTCTTCTTTTGCGATAACAGATTTTCTGTATTCGTTATTTTATAATATATTTTATTCTTTAAATAAAATAAATTGGTTAGTTTAAATAAGTCTACCCCGCAAGTGAGCGCGACGCGTCCGTTGGCGTTTGCGTACGAATGACGTCAGCGCCCAGTAGACCAATCAAAACCTTTGTTTACGCGAACGCGTCACTGCTTCCTGCGTTTATTGTGACAAAAATTTCATCATAGGAATGACTAAAATGATTACAATGTTACTGAGCTGATGATTTACATAACTCACATCATTTAAATTACAATTAATAATAAATATATAAATATAAATACTATTTTACACTTTTTAGAAGTAATAGATGACAATGGGTGTTTTAAAACAGAATACACTATTCTACACCTATTAGTACCAAAACATGCAGTCTATACTTTGTAGTATGTACTAGGCAGTATATTAGTGTAATATTCTGAACATATCCAGAGAATAATTCATGGTCCATCTATAAAAACATTCAAATTCGTGGCCATCATGCGGAATTTTTATTTAATCCTTCAGGGATACTAAAAAAAAGCTCCAACCAAGTTACATAGCACTAGAAACATGTTTATAATAAGCATGATAAGCATGTTTTAGGACATCCAAGAAAAGAATAGCATTATTGGGTTAACCTACGCAGATGTAAGATGTTATTAGAGGACCAAACCATGGACAACAAACGGTACGTCTACAGCGTTTTGTCAGTCCATAGACACTGAAAGTTATTGAAATCCATACAGATCAGATGTAGATTTGTGCAGTAATAATGAGAATGATGATGAAACTTCATGATCTCTTTCTGTATGGCTTAGTGGATCAATCAACATAAAACCAGACTCCTTTCTTTTTTTCTTTTTTCTTTTACATTTTCCTATTTTTTTCATAAAAAAACAAGGAAAAAAGGTTTTACTCATAAAAAGCGACTACATAATACAAGCACAGTCTTCAAATACATTTGGGCTTCGGTGTCTTTCCTCCTAGACGTCAGCGTGGTTCTGAAATAAAGCGTTCGCCTTCGATTGACCAAACGTGGCTAGTGCAGAATCATCCACATCGAACATTTAGATCAAGGCGCTTGTTTGCCTCATGACGTCTCGATTCAAAAGTGCTAATAATGGTCATATCACGTTTTATGTACAACACGTAAAACTCATGTAGGTCACAAAGGTGGGCAGACAAAAAGTAACACAAATGAATGAAGGAAGCCAGAGTGTGTTTGTGAGCATTATAAAAGGAAACGAGCGCAGTTCAGCTCTCAGAAGACATCTGCTCGTCCTGAGCTCTGCTGTCCTCCTTTACGTCTGTGTCTGCTGTGGGATTGGCCTCTGGGGAGTCAGTTGTGAGTGTTTGCTGCTCTGTTTGGTCATCTGGATTGGGCCTGAAAGACAAAAGCAAAACCAATCAGCACGTTGTGTGATTATTTTGCTTAAGAACAAGGAAAATGTGCCGACTAATTATTAAAACAGAACGAAAGGTGGCCGTTCTTCACCTGATGCCGTTCGGGGATTTGTTCTCATCCTGTTGCTCTTCGTCTGTGGGTTTGGGGTTGCTTTCGGATTCAGAAATGTCTTTTTTCTCGCTTTCTGGCTCTCCGTTCACTGGTTTAGAGTCGTCTGGAAGGAAGATACAAAGTACAAAAAAACATGTTTTAAAACTCATTTGATTACTGCATGTGAAAACTTCTAATTTGACAGTTTACCTGTGTTTTGTGTGTCTTGCTCATTGGTTTCTTGGTTCTTTTCATCCGCTTTTGGTTTACCGGACTCAATCTTGCCAAGGAACTGGAGCTTTAGCTTATTGTAGACTGCAGTGGCCTTCTCCATAACCGCACTACTTGCTTTGTACCGGCGAATCTAAAAGACAAAAGATGGTCAGAAGCATGCCGGTTTATTTAACATATATAAAATATTTAAATCAAATTTAATGTGTTATTTATTTTTTATAATTTAATAAAAAAATTAAATGATCCCAAAAAGTTCAATCACACTCCCCCCTCCCCCCTTTTGAACACACTGTTTTACTCAGAAGTACCTCACATGAAATGGTAAAATGGATTGCAAGTTAAAAGATTTTCTCATGTTTATACCTTTTTGAGTGTGGCAATAACATCTGCATTCTTCTGCAAGATTAGAGTGGTTACTTGTACCGAGCCGAGCTCCTCCAAGGCCTGTAGACACTTCTCAATGTCCTACAGATTGAAAGCAAGCAGAAGACTCAGAATGATACCAGGGGATTCACACATCAAGTCATTTTCACATGTACAGCCACTGTTATAAATATAGACTAAATTTAACAGCATTTTGAAAATTTAGAGGTCATGTGTGGTTCAGCTGAAATCAGACCTGCCAATTTCCATGCATGATGGTCAGTGGCTGAACCAGGGACATTACCGTTAACTACAACTATTAAAACAATAGATTGTTATTTAATATAAATTGTTAAGCTGAAATAAAATAAAATATAAATATTACATGAAAGGCTACATGAAAAGTAGAAATGTTGCCTTGGCAACAAACTGAAATGAGTTTAAGCTGAAGCACTAAAATCACTAAACGTAAAAAAAATCATCAATAAAAAGTAATGACAAGAAATTAAACTAAAATCAAACTGAAAATATAAAAATACTATCATTTTTAAATAATAATAATAATAAAATAACATTGGGCCAAAGAAAGGCTATATATTAGACTATATTAATTTATTAAAAAGGCTATATTCAGAGTTCAAAACTATTTGAAGGTGTAATATCTTGAATAAAGAAAAAATATTTTCCTGTGTAAAAGTAAGGATTTCATTTAGGGTAGCTTTAAAATAAATATAAAATAAAATAATATTAAATACCACAGAATATGCAACTGTAATAAACCACAAAATCTCACATGAACAGTATGAACTAAAACAAGTCTGAATCAACTGATTCAATGAATCGGGCATCCTAGCGGAGTCTAACCAAAACCATTGCTTGTTCGAATACTAGGCAAGGCAAGGCAAGGCAAGTTTATTTGTATAGCACATTTCATACACAATGGTAATTCAAAGTGCTTTACATAAAAGAAAAAAAATAAATAATCACAACAATTTTAATTAATGGCTTTTGTGTGTGAAAGTGACACATGGCTGGACCGCTGATGTCACTACTTACTGGGTTGTCAACTTTCAGTGCAAACTTGATGTCTGTGTGGAGCTTCTGTAGTTTCTCTTCAGGTGAGGGTTCTGAATATATATACAGAGCGACAGAAACAAGAGTTCAAGTTTGACTGACCATAACATTATTCAAAAGAACTGAACAGGCATAAGAACATGTTTCATGTGACCTTTTTTCTTCTCGGGTGGACGCGCCAGCTTCCGTTTCGGCTTCTCGGGCTTAGGCCTTGTGGAAGAAAAGTGTTGAAAGTGTCAGGGTTATTATTGCTAAAACTAAACAATTAATTATATATATATATATATATATATATATATAAAAAAGTTACTTAATAATTAATAAACACTGCATTCACAGTTTTAAAAAGGCAAAAAACAAAACAAATAAGACTTCAAAGTGAAAACAAAAAATATAAAAATGAAAACTAATTCAAAATATCAATAAAAACTATAACAGCATCTAAATTGAAATAGAACGCTGAAATAACGTTGGTTATTGATAATTAAAGTTAGAACTATTAAAGCAGCACTATGTAACTTTTTCTGTGTTCAAAATTTGCAAATTGTATATAATGAGCGAGTACATCATGAATTAATCTTCCAAACCACAATTTTGTCTTATTCCGAATCACTCCGGTACACTTATAATAAGTACTTATATTTGGACTATTGTAGCCTGGTCGGGGACGTCACCGCTGCAGAGTAACACATACCTGCGTGAATCACCATAGACATAAACTTAGAGAAGTAGCTCCGTTTGGAATGTTCTTCCGCGGGATGTGTGCAGTTCGGTTTATTAACCGCTAGAGCGCCAAAAGTTACATAGTGCTGCTTTAAAATCTCTTTCATTAATTGAAATAGATAAAATAAAATCGAACAAATATTTAATGAAAAGCTTTTAAAAAAACTATTTAAAAAAATTAAAATTAACATAAACCTAATTCATTAATAAAAACTTTATTTTTAATAAATTAAAAATGTTGCTTTGGCAACTTATTGAAATAAAAATAAATTAAAGCTAAATAAAATAATTTTAAAAAACTAAAAACGAATAAGTGGCAAAAGCAAAAAAATTACTAAAACAAAGTAAAATTAAAATGAAAACTGACAATATAAAAATAAAAATCAATTCAAAATCCTAATAATACTTACTATAATATATACAGGTACATCTCAAAAAATTAGAACATCATGAAAAAGGTCAATATTTTTTGTCACTCATTTTAGAAAGTGAAACCCATATATTATATAGATTCATTACACAGAGTGAAATATTTCAAGCCTTTATTTCTTGAAATGTTGATGAAATGTTATAGATTCTCTATGGGGTTCAGGTCAGGTGAGTTTGCTGGCCAATCAAGCACAGTAACACCATGGTCATTGAACCAGCTTTTGGTACCTTTGGCAGTGTGGGCAGGTGCCAAGTCCTGCTGGAAAATGAAATCAGCATCTCCATAAAGCTTGTCAGCAGAAGGAAGCATGAAGTGCTCTAAAATTTCCTGGTAGATGGCTGCGTTGACTGTGGACTTCAGAAAAC